TATGATGACAGTATACGAAAAATGAAATAGCTGTTCTTCAAGACCGGCAATGTAGTCTTGCTGATCCTGCAGGAAGTTTATTATTAGATGTTGAACCAATTGTGAAATGTATTGGTTCTACAATCACGTTTGTTTTTTTGTTCGTGACTGTTAACAAATAATTTTCTACCAAATATCTCACATTACTTTATCAAGAATCCTTACTGAAACCGTAAACTTTACAGAAAGTTTCATACATAATTTTTCATCTAATTGGTGCATTAAAGAAGTCATTTTTTGATTTTTCTTGTAGTTTTCTAAATAAACAGCGGTAAATTGGCAATTTGTTGTACAATATGTACACAATTGGGTTAAACCAGTTTAATTTTTTAAATAAATAAATAAATAACGATTTGTTGAATTCTGAGTTTCTTGGCAACAAGGAAATAAATACAACTAATAATATTCAACTCAGGATAATTTTTCGTTAAAAATGGTTTACAGACATAAGTTAAATTACGCTTTTATTTTCTCTACTTTCTTCCTAAAACTATGGTAAGTTTATCAGCAGTATTTGCCTGTATTTTAGTTAATTTTATCGAAATCTGTAATGAATGAGATTTATCATACATCTATATTCCAATTTCTATGATTTTCAGATTTAAGTAACACAAAACCCGAATAGTTGTTAAATCCAGATTTACGTTAAAATATCTTCACAGGCAACACGTGCATGTTCAAGAGTCGACCGAAAATATTTTAAGAACTTATTATTATCGTTAACGTGTGCCTGAAATAATTACAAAATAAACGGTTTGCACGATTTAAAATGTGCGCGTTGTGCAAATTATACTGTCGTACGTTTTATTTACGGTGACATTAATAATATTAGAATATTTTAAACGTGCTTTTAATTTTAAAAGAATAAACGAATGAATTTCAATTCGCGTACCTACGCCATATTAAATGCGGTATAGAAAGTTACTGTTCCGCGAGTTACTAAATAAATCAGAAAGTATTTTTCACACAGATCAAACTTTTTTCAAAACGAATAGTTGTAAGTGTAGGTTTGCAATATCGATTTGTTTTATTGCACATAAGACACTGAATAACGATAAAATATGTCGTGGCATGTGATTTGCCTGTGACATTTGTTCAAGTAATAGGGGAGGGGGGATTGTGAGTGGCTTACAGGAAAATTTCTTTGCTCAGCAACTTAACTTTTCCGAATAAAAAGACGAGTAAAATAATTTTCCGATTTTGTATATTTAACCGAGAAAAGTCGAAATTTTGAAGCACGCGTGGCCTATCGGCCATTCAACTTGCTTACTTCTTTACTTGCTCCAAACTTTTATTTTTTTATGTAACCATGCTTTGTATTAGCTGAATACAAAAAACGTTGCTACTTTTTTGCAATGGGTTTTTGCTGCTAATGTACTACCTTAATGACCTTCTTAAGGAAATCTACCCGCCATAATCTTGGTCTTCACAAAGATCTTTTTTCTGACGGTTCTTCCTCAAATACCTACTAAATTTATTGAAAATTCATTATTACACCACGGCGGGTGAGTCTCGCACACATCAGTGTTCTTTGAGGAATCTCTCAGACTATATTGAACCTTTAGAACTAAATTCGGTAGAGGAGAATATTATTTTGTGATAACGGTGGGTACCCGATATTATAGAGTAAAATTTATAATTCGTATTAAGATTGACAATGATTTATTTTTTTTATGCTATATTATCTCTGTTAATATTTTTAATGTAATGTTATCGACTGGAAACGCTTTGTGAATGAACCACATACGCTTTTATTCGTTTAATGTTATATAGTAGTTGAAAATATTACATTTTCTAACGAGATAAAAAAATAATATAATCTTTTCGTAACTGAGAAAATATCCCCTGGGAATCTAGTAAACCTACATAATATTTATGTATTATACAAACTACGTGTAAAATATGTTTTAAGTTTGGACGTGTTTTTGGAAAGTTCTAAACTATCATGTATAAGTACTATACGATATTTTGAGTGTGTAAATACGTCGGCGTACATATAACAGGGGGCAGGGCCGTTTTTTCAATTAAGTCAGTGATTCAAACCGGTGATTTATATACTATCACGTGTATCACTGAGAGTTGTTTAGTTGTGATGCATACATTATAAATATACATTTAAAAAAAAGCTATATCACAAGAATTTAAACCTAAATCATCTCCTTAAGTTAATGTTTCCTCGTTAAATTCATAATTAGCATAGTATTATTTTAATGAAGAAAAATCAGTTCTGTGTTAATGAAAAAATCGTGCAGACGCTGCGCTATTCCGGAAGTCGTCCAAACGAATATTACAATATACACAATATACGATTGATTTCGAGAAATATTACTGAAAAATGATTACAAAAAAAGTAGTTCGTTTTATTGGGAGGAGGGGGGGATGGGAGGTTGGGAAATTAGGTAAATGAAAAATGTCTAGTGAATATTATTTTAAGTAAATAAATATTTAAATAATAAATGTATATAGAGAAATAAAATAAATAAATGAGTCAATGCGTTGTCTGAAGTATTATGATAAGTGTATTATACGACCGGTTTCGAATTTAAAATTCATCACGGTCAAAATTATTTTTTTACAATGGTTAATATTTATTAACCATTGTAATAATTTTGTTTTTACTTTATTATTTTATTATTTATTGGGGCAAAAACAATAAATTTGATTTTACTATTTTCAGGAAACCTACACAAACTGATGCTATAAATACCACACGATTCTAATCGCCCTTATTCTCAAAAAATATTATTCTTTAATTTAATATTCTACAGGCTTAAACGTATTCCATTAAATAAACGTTATTATTAACACGAGTTCAATATTATCTATAATATAGCCCTATATATATACTTAAAAAATGCATAAGCGTATTAAATAAAACATAATACACAACTCACCAAACAATGTTGTTTATGCTATTGTAATATGAAATATTAAAATATTATGTCTAACTAAAATTCTGAAAAATAATACAAATAATATCAAAATCGCCATTAAGACTAATAGTTTAATTAAACATGTAAACAATAGAACTAAAAACTTTACAAAAAATCCCCCTTCTTTTGAAAATGCTGGTGTGTATAAAATTAAATGTAACTGTAATAAATTGTATATAGGTAAGACAAATAGAAATTTTAAAATAAGATATAAAGAACACATTTCGGAAATAAAATTACAAAAGACTACCCCAATTCAAATTTCACCAAATATGTTTTAGAAAATAACCATAATATAAGTTTTGATATGATACAGACTTAGAAATATTAAATACACAAAATAACATTTACATAAATTCAGTTTTAGAAGAATTACACATAAACAATGAAATAATAATTTTAATAATATTTTAAATGTTCAAACCGATTTTAAAAATAATATCTTATATCAATACATTTTAGATAATAAATAATAACCAAATAATTTATATTTATTAACATATCTTTGTCTAATAATACATTTTAAATAATCTCTCATATTAAAATAAATTATTTCTATACTTGCTTCCGTGTATAAGTGTAGTAACTTTTCTGAAAGCTCAAGTTGTATATATTGTACTTTAAAGATGTCATTTTTAAATAAAAGCACTTAAGTGGGGGAAAAAAAACGTATGGAAAAAGATTAATTTGACTCACGAGAGGAGAAATTTACTCACGGCAGAAAATATAATAATTGTTTTGCACTACGATTAGGCTGTTCTTCTGAAAAACTCTTTTTGGGGACGACTTGTTTGATCCGTTATTCAAACGACACTAGTTATGTAATTTTTTACGTTCTTGTTTTCTTACGATGCCTAAAATCGTTATTATAACGACCTAGGCAAATTCTTAAATATGTATTAAAACAGAATATTTGTCACTAATCGCGATGATTTCGATAGCAGCACTTATCATTCCTGAGTGCTGGATCAAAATATTATTTTTAAGGGGAGGACTATTTAAAATATTTCAACTTGGTATATATATATATTTGTCGGATGGGAAAAATGCCTCTTTTATCCTACTCTTTCCATTGATCCATCAATGTAATTTCTATACCATTTCGACAATAAATTTTTCATCACAAAGGGCAATTATTTTAAACATATACTTGCGTTCGAAAACCGTATTCGAAATATTATCTGGTGCATGTGCGTCACACATAAAATATGCATCACGTTGTTGGTGGGTGATTTTAATCACACACTTGTTTTCGATTAATTTTGTCGACGGAAAACAGTCACGATTGTGAACACGTGGCATATAGTTGTCTCGCTTTTTCTTACCGTATATAAAGGACACATTCTATAATATCATTTCCTATATATTATTACAAACAATAATTCATGTTATATATGATCAAGGAGCTCAAAATGACACAAAATAGTAATAGATATTCTAATTTTAAAAGTCAAAAATTGAAATTCCAAATGGCATTTTAGTTTCTGGGTATACTAACAAAAAAGCTTTGATTTTGCAGCTAGTAAAAATGTTTCGTGTTATGTCTCAATAGATACGGAATTCTTGCCTATTAATACTTTATACGAATTGTTTATCGATATTTTCAACAGATTCATTAGCATTCACATCTTATTGGTCCTTTTGGTTGGTTTTGGAATTACTTTTTGGCAACCAGCATAAAACACGATTCTATACCATTCCGGTCAGAATCGTATTTTCATTTGCAAAATTGTATCGTTGCATATATTTTTATATATATATATATATAGTATAAAAACTGAATCGGCCGTACATTCTACCTTCGAAACTTCCTACCGACAATATTGGCCTACCCGTGAGCAGTATCAACATGTTCTTTTTGACGCGAGTAATACTTCAGACAAATTAGGTTCACCTCCTCATGAAGGTACTTTAATTATTAGTTTACATTCGTAAAAGTTCGACTACCGTCAAATAAATACTCAGTTCTGCCCCAGAAAAATTTTCAATTATCGAATTCATAAAATAATAATATGTTGCTGCAAAAAAATGTTGGGCCTTTCTCCTTCAACAATTATTTCCATCCAGGATTTCACTGCCGCCGAAATATCATTAAAACATGTATGGTCTTCATTTTTAGATTCATAGCGTAAAGAAGGATCTATTAGTTTTCCTATGGTGTATGTATAGCAATGGTTTATCGTTGTTTACAGGTATAAATTAAATAACTTAATGCATTCTATACATCTACTCTTCTTCCCAACTACCCACCTACATGAGTAGTCACTAATATCAGGGTTTTTTTTCAATTTGATATCCTCTTCATATAGGTGATACGAGTTTTGCCCTCATACATTTCCGTACATTTCATTCGGAAACAGTATTATTGTATTGATATTATTCGCGGAATCATGTAAATCGTTCGGATAAGTTTATTGTGCACTGGAATTGCCTACGTGCGGTGCCGTGTAATAATTTTTAATTATATTGGCCGCACCATGGTTAATATTTTTGTGATCCCGAAATTGTAGGCTATTTTCGATTTCCATTTTGAATAAATTGTTTTTCTGTTTTACCGGTTTCAATTTCGTGTACCTACATACATTATATTTGTTTTCGTGGTATCGATTTTGAATAGGTTTTGGTTTTGTTTTTTGATGACCATGGTATATCTTTTTTAAATTCGCGACAGTTTCTGTGTAGACGATCTCATATTTGTCAAATGTATACTGTTAACGCTATGCGGTTAAAATGTAGTGATTCGTTTTCCATTTATTTACAGTGATAAGCTGGAGTAATAAAAACATACTTCCAATGGTATAGTTTTAGTTTTTAAAATTTTGAAAGTTTCAGTTTAAATATATTTTGGTGTTGGCATTCTTAATTTCCGTTGGACTTTGCATAAATATTGTTTTTAGTGATTATTATTTTACCACATCGAACATTGATCACCTCCCCCCCCCAAAAAAAAAAACCGCGTAATCAAATAAATTTGAAACCTTCGAGCTATAGATACCTGATTGATCATGATAAAAAAAACATCCGTTGTATCGAATCGGTGTTTTGCTTTGTATAAATGATGATGGAAACGTCCAATTTTTGGTTTAATCATTATTCACTTTTTATTTTTAACATAGATGACATTGGTACCTATGTATATTATTTATTGTAACGTGAAATAAAAAAAAAAATATATTCACACAAATATATATTTTGTACTATTTTCCGCCTTGGCGATTTTTCAGATCCCCTCCTCAATCGTTGGCGTTTATTTTTAATTTCAAACAATTTCAAAGGTATAATAACTAGTAGGTATTACCTATGTACAGACATTGAACACCTGCAGCAGACTGATAGGTAGTTTATAAACATAGTATGTCCGTGTTAAAAAAGGTTTATGTCGAGAGCAATAACTTAATACGTTTCATACGCGATATTATTCCGGTCTACTAAGCTTTAAACGTTTTATAAAATAAATAAACCGATGGTCCAATATTTGAAATAAATATCAAATATACAATTAGGTTGTTTTTATATAAATTGTAAAGGTACAACAAATTTTCTATGCCTTTATTTTTTTAAATTCTATTATATACAAAAATTCTCTCAAGTTGTATGTTATTATTAATTATAATAATAAAGTCATCTTGTTTTATACCAGTTAATCAAATTTTTCAAAATAGTCACAATCGGTTTTTGATTGCGCTAATTCAGTATGTAAACTCAATAGCCCTATATCTTGTAACTTTCGGACTTCCCTGACTACAATATGGTCTAACCGACACCTATACTTTGAAGTGGCATGTCAGCTTTATGTTTTTTTTTTACAGTATATTTTGAATTTCTTTACTAACATGAAAACAGTAAGTAAATGATGTAATATTAATTAAACTTTTAAATGATAGTTTTGTTATTCATTGATAATCAGTGTGGTAGAATAATAATCGCTGAATACGATATACATACATACAGAGTCAGTAGAGACTCAGGGTTGACGTAAATTAAAAATTTTACCACCAAAATGTGCTTAAACTATAACTATCTACGAGTATTTATAGAATTTGTATATAGGTTGCTATTTAAAAATCAAAATTGGGTAATGGTAATTCCCCCCGAAAATAATTGTGTACAACGTAAGGACAATGTAACATTTTAGAATGCACGGTTCCACAAAGTATTTACTTAAAAGTTAAAAAAAAAAATTAAAACTAAGTACTTCATGAAATTATGAAGACCTTGTGTATGAAATGAAACCGAAACGGCACAGTTTTTGAAGTCACGAAAAGTACTAATTCGGTTAATTTAATTTAATTTTTTCTTTTTTTGCAGACCGTTTCTGTCACGGTTTCAGTCATGACGCTTACGTCAATTTCCATCGATCGCTGGTATGCAATCTGTCATCCTCTGAAATTCAAATCGACTACAAGCCGTGCCAGGACCGCCATCATTGTCATATGGATCGTCGGGCTTGCTTCAGGTAATAATAATAAAAAAAAAACGATACTGATGATGTGTGCCACATCTGTTGTTGGCGGGAAAGTACGATATTTAGAACCAATTATTTTATATCTGTAAGTAATGATAAATCATTGTTAATGAAATACCATTCTGGACGAAGTTCGGTAGTTACACGTAATAAAATTCCAACAAAAATATTACATTCGAATCTGTTATTTAAAAGGTAGGTTCCTATTCAAAAAATAAAGGTACATACTTATTTAAATTATATGGAGTAGGGGTAAAATTAATAAAATAGTTTTAAAACAAAGTTTGAACGATTCCAAAATGATTAATGAAAATAGAAAACAAACTCACTTAAAATCCTCTGAGAAAAAGTCACTGATTCATGATAAAAAAAATCACACTGTATAAAAAAACAAAAACGAAAATAACGTAATAGTTAAAATTTCTCGTTATTCTTACGGCTTTTCACGACTTTTCTCACTTATTAAGATTAACCACCTACCACTAAAATAACTACTACCTATAAAGAAAATCTAAAATATCATCTCTTCACCGTTTAAATAAAATTATATTTACAGCACAATATTGTACTTCAGATGTCTTGCAAAAGTAAACTTACAAACTGTCAATGATAGTAATTGCAAAAAAAAAAAAATGATAAGGAGGGATTTGAACCCCCAAACCCCTCTTAATCTTGGGCACATATACATATAAAAATGTATATTATCACTTTTACGAGACACCTGCTGTATTGTTTTTATCGTATTTACAAGTCAACAAAACCGTGTTTTTCCCGGTGAATTTTGTTTTCTAGTTTACTGGCGTTTTCGCGATATTAATTATATTAAGTGATCGGAATACGCTTCTCAAACGAAACAAATATTATGACAAAATTGTGTCTTGTTTTTCACACCAGTAATTTTTTTAAATTAATTTAAATGGCATTTCCAATAAATTTTGTTAAATATAAGTAAGTAAAATAATAATAAAACTCTGTTGTCGACGTTCAATTATTATGATCACGGAACTATAACAATATAGGTGTTGAAATTTTGAAATATTAGTTTGGAATCTGAACGTTTTACTACACGGTGATTTTTTAAATTTTTTATACATGGCCGTTTTTTTTTTTGTGTTCATTTACGAAAATCTTCCAAAATAGTATTTTAAAAATACGGATTTTCCGCTCGGTGGTACAACTATTTTAACTAAACATTTTTTTCGATTTGAAAAACATAGGTTTTGAAAACACTTAATTTATAGGCATATCTGGACTGTTTTTTTCCCCATCTTAGTTCTCTCAGTTACACTGAACCTGTTACATTCGGAATCTTTATTTTTCACGTTTGCAATGTAAATTGGCCCCCAGTATTGGAAAAAAAACATGCAATTAAACTATATATATAAAATTTGACTAAGTGTATAAATATTGAACTAATAAATAAATCGAACGGTTTATATAGTAATAATTAAAAAAACTACAATTGTTTCTGTATAAAATCGTTATACTTGAGTGCATAAAAAAATGTATATTTGCCTTTTCTAAACACAGGAACATTTTCGATTTTTGAACTATTTATCGGCATTTTATGTTTTGTTTTTACGTAGTTTTTATTAAGTAGGCATTATGAAGATATAATTGTTTGACCAAATATAAATGTTTGAAAATGTATCAAGTGGTTTATCAAAATTTTTTCTTAGTGGTAAAAAGAAAGTAAGTGTAATGGAGTTAATTTTTTTTTTTATAATATTTTCAAGATCAAATTTTGATGAAAATCGTTAAATCTTATCGTTATCTCTCGATCACAGTTATTAATCGAAGAAAATATCGGAATTAAATAATATTAATTTTTCATAAAATTGGGACATATTGGCGTACCAACATTTATTTTCGGGACTTTGGTACAAATCAAAAACCGGTGACAGTCTCGGTTTTCCGGGACGTATGACAACCCTATTGCAAACATAAATTAAATTTATTTATGTTTTCTACCTTGCCCATTTCTCCACTAAACCGGGGGTGAACCAGTCAGCAGTTTCAGCTCTTTTTTTTTTTTTTTTTGAAGGGGAGTCTGTTATAAGTATACAAAATTGTATAATATTGAATCTATATATATATATATATATATATATATATAGATTCAATAATATATATATATATTATATATAATATATATATATATATATATATATTTACTATTAGATTTATTCTGAATAATTTCAACGATTTTGTCCTTGAATATTTCAGGCTGAAAATCCATCGAGTTTCTCTACTTGTATACGGGACGATATACAATAATATAGTCACAATTATTTTATCCTAAATTTTGTTGTCACTGCAAATGAAAAGCAAAGTGCAATTTACAGGTGTTTTATCTCGCTCTAAAATAGTTGAGGTTTCTAATTATGTTATACTCATACAACTTCATTTATTTTAATTTTATTTATTCGTCCTTAAATTTGACGGGCTAATATCACAGACCCTATCATATTAATTGCAGAGTAACCGCAATACACGACCATTAGACTTATGTATCTCCATAAATACTACGAAATAAAATATATTATGGCAGTTTCAAATTGAACGCATTTGAAAAGTATAAGGCACCACCATTCAAAATAAAATCTATTTAATATACGGTTTTCGCCCTTGTCGTTTTGTATATAATCGACTTAACCGCGCGCGGTGGAGCATAAGTTTTCGAATAAACAAAATATTATACAAAAGTGTCCGACCAACTGTATATAGGCATAATAACTCATCTGTCAAATCACACATACGCGTTAGCCCGGTAAAAGTTTCTCGGCGGTAAGATTTAAAACATAATATAGTAAATTTCATCAATGCAAGCAGGGTATTTCGAGAAGAATGAGCGCAAAACAAACTATATACAGGCACAATATCGATTAAAATATACCGTATCATTAGTACGGGCATGTTGTTATTCCGTCTGTTGTATAAAGTTAGGACGGCTTTGATACGTACAATTTTAATTGAACTTTCAAAGTATATATAATGTACAGTATCGAGGTACCCGACGTTTGTCGTTTTTTTTTTCGGTGACATTCCCGTTGATTTTTTCGTCTCCCTAACCGTACGCTATACGTATATATCAGGAAGTAATGCTTGTATAGTGAACGACTTTTCAATATATATGCACTATAAAAACCTACCGGGAAAATGCAAACAATATATATTATAATAAAATGTGTACAATGCCGTTTTATGCATTTACTTTACATATTATTATTTCAATACGCGGACGAAGAATTTTAAATATTATCATAATACTATTTTATACACATCTATAATTTTACAATATGTGTTTTATTAGTTTATTCAAAATAGTTTCGTGTTGTTGAAATGTTTTCGTATACATTAATATTATTATGTGTAGGTAATGTTGTTACGTGACCGACCTAAACATAGATATAGAGTACGCTTACGTTTCCAGGTACCGCTAAATATTTCGAAAGGATTACCTCGGATTTGAATTGCGTTTTCGGGAAATGATAGTAGATACTGAAACACAAAGTTTAGGATAAATTTATTTAAGATTTTTTTAACTCTTACGATAAAAGCACGCGCCGTTAAAATTAGCTTTTAAAAAGCAACAAATATTTACGACGCTTGAGATTCAAAAAAGTATTTTTTTTTCTGCAAGTGAATTCGATGAATATAATTTTTTTATTTTCTCTTAAAAATAAACCGAGTATACAGTCATCTAGGGTTGATTAAAAAGTACGAATTTGTATAGATTTTGAAAACATTTAAATTCTATTTTATTATATATATGTATTATTTCATGACAATCTTTACAAATAATTTTTAATATAATTTATATTTTAACATGTTTCGAAACAGCGTATATATTTCTTCCATAGTATTAATAAATATTATTGCTACAGTTTTTGTTGTTAACTGTTTTTTAAAAATTTATTTCCGCCATTTTGCATTTGAAATCTTACCGTCCACCCAACGTCCCCTAAAACCTGGCGCTCTCCAAGAGGACTAAAATGCCCCTAAAGTGTCTACAGCACCTTTGGAAGAATTATAAAATGTTATCATCTCTGTTTTTTTTACGTCGTTTGCATTTTATCAATCAATGAGTCATGATGTAAAGCCTTTCTAAGTTGTCCATATCACTACACTATACGAAAAAGTACTGTCATTCTACTACGGGCGCGGGATAAATATATTCCAAATGCAGGAGACACCCAAATCGATCGAATGCCAATCAAACACTAATGAAAAAAAAAAGTAAAAACACTTAATAACTGTATATAAACCATATTTAGGTAGGTATACGAAATGATACAATCTTATCTTTAATCATAATAATGTTATTATGATATCAAATACGACTGGGATTATTATTTACTCCGCGCGCGTAGTCAAAGGTTAATAAATTGTTTTTCTTTGAGTTCTTTAATAGATAGACTTTTTATTAATAACTGTTGACAGTCTGTTTTTCTTATCATTTGGTTTTATAATTTGACATGAACAGTGTAGTATAAGAATATTTTTTGAAATATATGGTCCAATATTTCCAGAGTATATTTTGAATATTTGCATCAACAATAGACTCTGTCGTTGACATAATAGTTTTATTATATATTCATTTTAGAATTACTTGTTTCATCAACTTTTGTGTTTTCTGTTTCAATATTACGATTGGTATTTCAACTGGGTTTAAATAAATCTCCTGGAAAATATGGATGGATGAATTTAACAAGTCTGAAACAAAGAATCGCATTTTGGACAGATGCTACTTTTAAGTAATCTAGTGTACCTAGCTCGACATTTTGTATTTATTCAGAAACAAATTTGCTAACATGAGGTTATGTTATTGGCAAAACAAACTTAAAAATGCTCTACTGGTTAAAATAAAATTCAAATAATTCAGGGAGTAGTATAACAAACACGGTTTAACATTTTTAATTCTGAAAAAATTCGTTATCACAAAGTTGTGCTGTTGACATATAGTTAGCACATAACATAAACGGTTTCTACCGGCTAAAATAATGTCCAGCAAATTTGAAAAATGATCCAACAAAGTCTAACAAGTTACCGAAAATTGTATGGAATGAATTTGATAGGTGTATGTTTAGGTTATGCTACTTACTTTATGGGGGTGAAAAATCACGTAGTCATTGTTTGAAGTAGTTGTCTTATTATTCGATACAGCTAATGATCTGATAGTCTCAACAGATTAACGTGATTTCCAAATAATCAACGTCTGGTTCGAAGTTATAGACCAAAAATGTATTTTATTTTTGTTTGATTTTTTCCTGCTTTATATAAACCTGTATATTTTTTAACAACTAGATATAATAGGTCTTATATTTATATCTAAGAGACTAGGACACTGAATACATCAGGAGTACACAGTATAAAATACATTTAAATTCTTATCATTTATTCATATTTATTAAATTGATAATAATCATTATTAAAAGGGACAAAGAATGGCCCATTCTGTATAAGTCAATGAAATCGATTTACTTTATGTGCAAAAGTGTCGAGATCGTGCATATTTGGTAATACGAGTATCTATGGGCGCCCGGAGAGGGGGAAAGACGGGGCATCTGACTTCCCCCCTGGACTTCAAAATTTCAAATATAATTTTAATAATTAGATAATTTATATCATTTTGGTGTTTGATTTTATTATGCACCTTCTTATATCGGCCAGTACATCAAAAGGCTTTTTTTTTTATCTGTAAACAATATTTCTACCAGAGAATACTTACTCAGATTTCTAAGTGTAGCACCTTTTCTGAAAAAAAATCGGTGTGGAGGGATACTTTAAGTAGCAAATTTTAAGATTTTATCACGAGTTTTCTTATAAAATTTGAAAACCGAAAAAAACAAGAAAATGTACAAAATATATTATTAAAATATTTTTTTTTTCCTGTCCACAACTTTTTAATCAGCAAATTTCTTCTAACTTTTAATGAAAGCAATGTTTATGAAATGAAATTTCTCTAGAGAGGTACTATAAAAAGGTAATTTTTCGATTTTATCAGGAGTTTTCTCATCGAATTTGAAAAACCGAAAAAAAATGGGAAAATATAAGAAATGTAGGTATTAGAATATATTAAGGCCTTTTTTTTCCTGTGAACAACTTTTGAACCAATAATTTCGCTCAAAATTTTAATGATAGTAATGTTTCTAAAAGGAGATTTTTCTAGGGAGTTCCTAAAAGAGATCATTTTTTGATTTTGTCAGAAGTTTTTTTATCAAATGTACAAAACCGGGATAAAAAATGGGGAAACCAGAAAAAACGTAGGAAAACTAAGAAAATCGGTACAACATTAAACAAATATTATTAAAGAAAGTATATAGAGTCTATTTAATTATTTTACAATAATATAGCATATATATTGTTAACAAAGCATCACTATCAACTAAACTCTGCTGAGAAACGTTTTTTCGTAAGCAATGGTTTTATCGTTGCTTACAGATATGTACATTAAATTCCTGTCTGTACTCTACCTTCCCAACTCCCCACCTACACTAGTGGTTGCACCCATTCCTATTATCTTACCTTTTTTAAGATTTTAATTAGTTTAATACTAAATGCAGGAAATTTATACAGAAGACGGTAATCAAAATATTATAAATTTAAAAAAAAATATAAACTATTTTGTATAGTTTTAAATTTGTTGTTACATAGAAAATTCAAAATTCCATAAACAGTTTTCTAATACTAAGAGTAATACAAAGTCTGTCATCGTTTAAATGATGCGATTTGTTTTCTGAAGAAAAGTAAAAGAATATGAGAGTTATAATATAAACACCTAGGCATATTAATGTATTTTACACAAAGTTTTACTTCGACGTATTATGCACCCAGTATATATTTTTAAAACGTACAAAATGTTCGTCTCTACGTAAAATTTGTATGTTCTCGACCGTGTGCACGACCTATCTGCGCTACGCGTATGTTTTACAATATTTTTGAATTTCGCGTTTTGTATCGACTATACAATAGATTGCAATTGATCGAAAACGACATTACTGCCCACTGTGTGTGTGTATAATGTTTCTTCAAAAATAAAATGCCAAGAAAAAAAACCCTTCAGAATTTCACGTATTACTCTTCAAAACGCGTACGTGAATCACAATACCGGGCATCACGAATCCCATTTGTATTCACACGTTATATTCCATTTAGTAAAACACAAAAATTACAACGGGAATAAAATACTATGATGTCAATTCCGTTTCAATCCGTCAAAATATGTTTGTAATAATCTTATTTAACTTTACACGTAATGACAGTTTTTTCACCACAGATTTCCCCTTCACCATTATACTTGTAAACCATAATATTATATCGGGGGTGTACTAAACGACGTGAGCATAATTACAAAATGAATCGTTAATCTCGTTTGTTTTCGACGTTTGTAATAATTTACAAGCCGGTAATGGAATATACTTTATACTGCCTCCCCCCCCCCTTTCTAGAGGTGGAAACGATTTTCCAAATTTTCTCTGATTTGATAAAATTTAAATGTTTTTTTTTCCTTTTAGTCGTTTTATAGAAAAATCTAATAAATGATACGATTTTTGAATTAATCTACTGTCGGATTCGTATTTAAGGAGAAGGGCTCACGGCTATTTTACGAGCAAACATAACGTTTTAGAGTCTAAAACGTCATATTATTATTGGTCTAAAATTTACTCACCACTACTATGTTTTAATTTCGAAAACATATTGGAGTTCTTTTATTTATTGTCTATTTTCTGTAGGATATATTAATTGTTCGTTTTAGGTTCTAAGGGAAGTGAGTAATGTATTGGTTTAATTTTAATGTCTGCAATTTTTAATTTTTTTCTGTCTATAATCGACTTTTCTACCAATAATCTTATTCCAATCAAAAAACGGCATAATAGATTTCTTTCTGCATTTTGGATTTCATTGGTGTGAAAGAAGATTGTATTTTGATTTTTCGTGTAGTTTTCTAAATAACAACAACGGGAAAACACGCATAATTCGTTCGGCAGGATTACTTTGTGGATAATACACACTTGTGGTCGTTACCGTGACACCTGACTCAAATATTCGTGACTGCCATATTTTGCTAAGAAACTATAATTCATGGTTAGAGACAACGGTACGTGATGTTCCATGGACTTTAATGTAGTCATTGATCATTCGATGATTGGTGATCAATACGGTGATGGCACGTTTGATCGCAAATAATCGGACGAAACAGATAAAGCAGCCGAGGACTACGAAAATATATCTGACGTGGTTCCATGCAGTTAGTAATGGACTGTAAATATCGACACAAACTCGAGCTAGGGGTTCGATTGCTTGAGTATGATACATTTTACCTTCGACTCTTATAGTAGAGAATTTTGCCTTTTGGCAGACATTGCAACTTTTAATGACACGTCGGACATTCCTGTGGATGGCAGAGAAATAACACTCACTGCAGATAATGATTGCACACTTTTTGGGTCCCGTGTGCCCAAGATGATGATGATTCATTTTATCCGACGAGTGTCTAGACAAAACCGGACAGTTCGGTCAGCCTTGCCCACACAAAGAATTGGATTTTTTAAGGCGAGGAACATTGATCGACGACCCCCCGCCAATCATTCGGGTGAATTCCTTATCGGCCACTGGTCAACGTGAAACGGAAATTTAATTTGATCAGATCTTGAATGGAACGTCTTCCGTGACGCTGAACTCACAGGTGTACAAAGAATGTAGACCCGGACGGAAGTAAAAAATGTGATAGTATCGGTGAAAAAGAGCCGACACATGTCTATACTGTTCGGTAGTAATCGTGGATAACGACGAGAGATGAGTTTGTATATTCGCAAACGGTTCTTAGTCTTTATCGTCGGAGATGTTTATACTGTGCAGTTCTTACGGATCGAACGGTGGATTTATATAATATGCTGCCAGATAGATACATTGGTCAGGAACGGTCCGATCGATATTTGTGAGGTGTGACCGAGATAATGAAAAATACGTTGACTGGGTTTTGGAACCTGGTGTACGAGTCGGAAAAGAGTACTCGACAGTCCCGTAGTCCCATCCTGAGAAATAAAATACTCGTTGAGAGTACCGCATGTCTACCTTGTGGTGGGACAACCAGTCGTTGCCCAAAATCATGGAAGTAGCGAGATGTTGGACCATTAGACAGATACAGTCACAAAGATGTCCAGAAACGGTGAACGGCATTAGTATTTGTTTTGATAACTTTTCGGCTACAGTTTTCTACGGCAGTCGTGATGGTCACTCCGGAACGGGTCCGGAGAGGCGTTGTCCTTCGGGAATAGATTCGAGAGTTGAGCAGAAAAATACCTATATCTGCACAATCCTACCATTCGTAGAGTAAAAGCGCGTACCGGTTTTGTACGTCACATGTTATTTCTTATAATATGTTTGATAAGTGCAAACGAAATTTGTATTCGTTTTAATTTCTATTCGTGTCGGAACTTAAGGAATGGTGTATTATTTTTTTTGTTGGAATTTACATATGCATATTGCATACCCTCAGGTGACTTGTACCTGCTATATTTCGTATGGGAACTTACATTTAAGTATGAACTTAAACACAATTAGCCATTTTAACTATAAATACAGATGTCCCGTATACAGTTTTAAATTACAGTAAGATGAAAACCAGTTAATTTGAATTAACTGATAACCGATTGGTATTTTACTATGCATAGTAAAATCTCCATCCATTTTTAAAATCTTAAGCTATGCAATAATATAATATATTCGTATTGTTCCGCAGACATTCCAGAACTTTTGGTATTGGAAGCCATGAATAAGACCAAACGCATCGGGTACATTTACTTGACTCAGTGCGAGGCCTTGTGGAGTCAAGAATCAGAAACAGCCTACCAGGTAGCCAAGACTATTGTATTGTACGTTCTGCCATTGTTACTCATGTCCATCACCTACTATCAGATTGTCCGCGTATTATGGAAGTCCGACAACATACCCGGGCACACGGAAACCGTGCAAATGTTCAGCAACGGTCAGTATATAGTATGATCAAAATAGTGTAAGACGTTTTATTATATCGAAAGAATTAATTTATTTTCAGCATTTTTTTATTAGAAAATATAAGAAACAAACGGATCTAAAACGTTCCATTACCGTTATAATATTTTGGGGTGAAACTGCTACCCACTTTTGATTTTCAGCAACCTATATTAATAATCCATAAATATACTTACAAAGTTTTAGTTTCAATCAATTTTGCTATTGACTTTTTTAATTTCCATCAACCCGTTAACAAAATATTTCACTCTCAAATTTGTATAGTTTTATAGTATGATGAGAGTAGAGCATCATTAGTGTGATAGTGAGACATTTACAGTGCTTCACACCACTAGCGGTTTTACGGGGAGGAGGGAGGTTGGACCCTCCTCCGAAAATCCAAGTTTAGACTACGAGAAGAAGATTTTATATTACAATTTTTAAACTAAACTTAAACTTTATTGTTGATCAAAACAGTCATGTTACATTCATGTAGGTAGTTAAAAAATAATATGTAAGTTAATTAAAATAAATTGATAAATATTGGGAAAATATATGTTGTATATTAAATACATTGTAAGTTAATATCAAAGGACCCTCATTCAAAAAAAAAGTTCAAAAATCGCTACTGTTTCACACCCTAAAATAAGGGCGACCAAAAATAACAGCAATGTAACATTGTAGAGCGGCTTATTGTTTCAGATATTTTATTGAAAACAAATTCCGTAAAAAGTTAATACTTTTCGAGATAAGTCCGAGATAATCCCGGAGAAAATATTCGAACAATTTCATGTTACAAATTTTTGTATAACTATTTTTTTTTTTACGTATCAACTTAAAAACTGGTTTATTTTAAAATTAAACTAAATCAAATTGCAAACGTACGTATGTAACGTTGATTTATGTTAAAGTTCTAATAAAACTTAAATATTTTTTGCAGCAATATATGAAAAATACAGACACACAATTATTTAATAAATTAAATAAATTTATTTTTAGTATTGATGTATTGATTTTTTTAAAAAACTGAAAACCGATCATATATTATTTGTTAACTGCCTCAGGGTATTATAAGACGCATTGAGTTTAGTAAACCCTACGATTATATGTGACTGGATAAATGAAGACAAACGTCAGATATTTTATGTGACAAGAGAATTCCAATAAGATTTAAAATTAAATTATAAAAATCCTTCACACGATGGGTGGACCACTGTTTTAGGTGAGAATTAAGGAAGGTAGAGGGGAAATTTAATGTATATTTGTATGCAATGAATAATCATTACTAATGAAAAACGATTTTAAGGTTGTACATGCTTTGATAGACTGTCATATTTACAATTTAAAAATAATATGTTCCCGTTTCTTACGTTTTTTATCGATTTTTCCCATTTATTATAAAAACCCCTGAAAATAATTAAAAAACTACCTTCTTAAAGTGCCACCCAAGTCAAATTTCCTTTCATAAAAAATGCTATACTTGAAAATCAGTTCAAAATTTCTGGTAGAAAAGTTGTCCACAGAAAATAAAAAATAAAAAATAAACATCACTGTAAAACCAATACGTGGTGGGACTGACTAAGTTGTATAGTTTGGAGTGTTGGGCGGTAGACAGATAAACAAAACTGAGAATGAGTGTAGCAGAGATGAATGCTTAAGTGGATAAGAGGATTAATGATAAAAGATTATAATATTAGGAATGAAGAGGTACTTTAGCGTAACTTCGGTAGTGGGTCGATTATAGAAAATATACTGAGATAGTTTGGGCACGTTATAAGGAAGAGGAATATAAAACAGTGAGAATTGTAATACATCAGATGTATACATGTAATATATAAGAAGTAGAATAAAACCGAAAAGAGGTGATTGGATGCGGTTAAGAATGATATGAGAACAGCATATATAAACAAGGTGGGATATCAGATCAAGTGGAAGTTTAGAATAAAAGTGGCCAATCTCACATAAGACTTCTTATTTTAAAGTAGCCAATTTCAGGTATTCAATATATAACGTGTCAAATAAAAAAAGTTATTCACAATTGAAAAAATCACTGATTAAGTTGTTTAACACAAGTTAAAAAAGTAATTGCCCAAGTTAATTTTGTCCTTCTAACTATAGCTAATGCACAGCAAAATGATTATCAAAAATCCTAAATTCGGAAATTCGTATTATAATTACTTGACCTTAGTGCAAATTTATAAATAAAATAATGTAAAATAAAAAAAAAAAATAGAAGTTTTGAACATTTTTAAGTATGTTTTAATGTTTTTAGGCGTTTTAAATACCAACAATACTGATTATTTTTAATATTATAATATTATTATGTTCACATATACGTTATTTACAGTTCAATTCATCAAATCTAATATTAACACTACAATAATACCTTATTTTTTTTTTATGTTAAGTCATTTTCAACTTACTGCGTATTAAAACAATCTGTATAAATAATAACCAAAAAAATATTAATATTGTAGGTATAAAGATACCTGCATTCTTTTTTTTTTTTTTTTTTTTTGTATTCTCTTATACATTTTTAATGATATCAATTTATAACTAATACAACCACATAAAATTGCTGTTTTAAGTTATGATAAAAATATTTTAATAGAATATTTTTTTTATTTTTTTTTTTTTTAATTATAATGATGAAAAAAGCCCGAAAATAATAATAATACTCAAAAGAAACGTCCGTACATTTTTATTTATTTACCCGAGAAAGGAAGGCAAAGTAGAAATATAATTCAAAGAAACACAATAATCATATTATTTTGTATATTTTCACCGTAAGTAACAAAAATAAAAGAAAAAAAGAGCTGATACTGGGGACGGGTGCGGCCACTGTTGTAGGTGAGAAGTTGGGAATGTAGGATACATAAAATTATTTAATTTATATGTATCTGTAAACAACGATAAACCATTGCTGACGAAAGATAATTCAGAGCGTAGTTTGGTAACACATAATTTGAAGTGCCGTAATTTTTTTTAATCCAACCTTCCTACGTTTTTTCCCAATTTTTAAAAACTGCATCATTATAAACAAGGTTAATAGTTCAACAAAAAATGACTTTTTCGTTATTCAATTGATGTCATATTTGTGCTAAAAAACGTGGTACGTACTTATTAAAAAAACCAATTCGTGAAAAAATCATATTTTTTTCCCTGGTTAATCGTTTTTATTTTAAATACCGTTTCGAAAACCAAAGAATGACTTATATATTTACCAATTAGATAAAATTGACTTTCAGAAACGGTGCTCCACTTATACATCGGAGCAAGTTTTCTAGGATAAAAGTGGTCTACAGTATAAAAAAAAAATATATTAGAAAAAATTTAAAAAAGAAAAAAATTCGTCCGATGAATTTAGAAATTTTACAACGTCTAGATAAGTCTAATATAATTATTATTACTAAGTTTCAAGTCTCTACGTGTATTTATAATCGAATCACAGCAAAAAATCTCTGAAAAATTTAAATTCCTTAAAAGCTCAAAAGTATTGGTAATGATACCATAAGAAAGTAAATCAAAAAGGCAACAAAAAATATGTTTTGTGATTTTCGTTTAAATCAATTTTTCTGGTAAAAAAATGTTATCCGTTATTTTATAAAATAATGAAATCGTGAAATTTTAAGTTTTCCTACGTTTTTTCCCACTTAAGTGCTATTATTTAAAAAATGGCATCGAAAATCAAAAAATTATATGTTTAAAGTATAATCTAAACAACTTGAGCTTTCATAAACTTGCTACACGTAAAAATCGGACCAAGTTTAATAGGAAAAAACGTGTCCACAGACTAGAACAAAAAAACAAACAGCCTTGTAATGCCAATAGCTCTCAGGTTTGATTCGTCGTTTTTAATATTTGAATACCTTGCGCGTTGTCCGTACACAATACACGTTTATTTCTCGATGTATAAAATTACGTGAGTTTAAAATAATAATTTATTTTAATCCATTAACCATATACACATACCTTTTTTTGACTGATAGAGAGGGACATAAAAATAAAAAAAATTAACGAAAAAGAAAAAAACGAAAAGACGCGTTCTGTTTTGTCTAGATAAGAGTATATACCTATTTCTTTTTTGTCTAGATAAATAAGAAATAAATTATCCGAGATAAATAATCGATTCATCTAGATAATGTTTTTTAGATTGTAATTTATAAATTTATCATTAAATAGGTAACCTATTACATTTATATTAATAATGATTTAATAATTTAATTATTACCAAACGACCTTAATGAAATGTGATTTTCTATCAAATCAGATACAATTTTAATCCTTTAAGCATTTAGTTATTTATGAAAGGAACCGAACAAAATTATCTTTTTTTTTTTAATTTAGATAAAATAAATGCCCAAACATTTATCCTTATCTAGATCATTAAATAATTATGTATCTATTAATTTCATCTAAACAATTATTCTAGAAATTATCTGTTAGTTATATTTATAAATTCAAAAATTTATCTTTACAACATTGCCCCAGTCCCAGGCATAAATTTAGCTGGAGACATCATCCACTTCAGCAGCGATTTCACGATTATCGATACATCCGCACTCACGCACCGCCTGGCTCTGTTTTAATTCGATTACCTTTGTGCTTGTTTAATTAATACGCAATGTATGCAGCATACGCCTCTGTACTTAACAATTATAATATAATACTATTACGTTTTCGTCTTTCGTCGAATGTCTGTATATGTTATATATAACAATATACATATATTGAAATTAATTAATATTATAATAAATAAATTTCATTATTTTTATCATTTAAAATAAATAAAAATCAAGATTTGGTACCAGAAACCACCCTCCGAGGGCGATGACTAACAAATTTGTTGGATTGATTGGATCGAAGTCTACTAATGTTGCGCTGACAAGTTCACAAGAGTGCATAAAATATTACAAATTGTTTGTGACGTATTTTAAAACATTCTCAAAATGTATCTAAAAAATGTAAAGAAAACTGAAGACTAACTTAATACATCGATTTTACATATTTTTGTTGATTTTTGAATTACTTTGGCTGAAAGGGCGAAAAGCACCTATACTAGTTATCAAGCTTCGCTCAAAACTATGTTTTGATTCCAACAATCTATCATTGCTTTCAATATATAAACTTAATTAACTTATACTCTATATGTTCTCAACTTTCCCGCTGCAACAGTGGGTATGCTCATGAGAGGATAGAGAAAAGTGTAACCTATATTTTTATTAAAACTTATAACTGACGTATCGAATTAAAATAGGTATACCTAACAAGACGTTTTTATTAAACATTTTCTCTCCGTGTGTTATATAGTTTACGTGGGACGCAAGGGACAAAAACAAACTGAAAAAATGCATTTTTCATCAGGCATCTTTATTTATTCTAAGACCGGGTCCTGACACGTATAGTACATCGTACAACTTGAAAACTGATTTAATTATAATAAATAAACGATATGTTTACATACAAGTATTTAAGAGTGTTGTATATTACGAAAATTGGACAATATGTAAATTTCGTCCTATTTAAAATTTTTTTTATTTTTTTATGCTCGGAAATAATAATTTTATCGTGTTAATTGATTTTTTTGAAAAATTCAAATAATCAAAATGTTAACAGGTTTTTTTATGGTTCTGCCAATATAGCAATTACTCTTATTGTTTTGGTGTTTTCGACTGAAATATCCTATGTAATTTTATAAATAAACAAATCGGCGAACAACAAACAATGTTCGTCGTCAATAAGAAAATAGAAGGCGCTGATCGAAAAATAGATTCTTAGAACCACTTATTAGTTATCCTATCACTTATTAGTTGTTAGTTGAACACCAAATAGCCGAATACCTATGGTTTTGCATATATTGTTGAGGTTCGAATTATGTAACAATGAACTCAGTTTTTAATATTTTATTTAGTTTTTACTGACATTATTCATTTTACTCCAGATTACATGTCATAGTATTTTCAAATATGTACATATATATATTAAACTATTTTCAAAAATAGTGCGTTTTATTGCGCATTTTGGTGAATTGTTCGAAATATGTTAAATGCATTTCGAGGTGCTTTTATTTAGAGAAGAGAACTGCAGTATTTTTATGAGGTAATTTAACATATAAAATGTACAACCCTACATAATTATTTTAATAATTTCTAGTTATATTATTTTTTTACATATATAATTAAAAAATGAACCTCATAAATGACTACCAAATACCCACTTTTTAGGAATGCACGTGCACGAGTAGAGTAAAAACTTTATTTATCGAGTCGACCAAACCGCATCCGTAATAATAATATATTTGACGAGATTTATGCTGACGATAAAATGTATAGTAATAACATAATAATCATTTCAGGATTCAACAGAAACGCGAACACGGGGTGTACCAGCACGATGGCTCAGATAAAAGCCAGGAGGAAAGCGGCAAAGATGTTGGTGGCAGTTGTGGTCATGTTCGCCTTGTGTTTTTTTCCCGTGCACTTGATGAACTTATTGAGGTGAAAATTATTATTTTTTTGTACGCCATATTATTTTAAAAAATATGCCCGTGAATCGAAAAAATGGGTATTTTGGATTATTTTTTATCGTTAACGATAACTTTTTTAAGTTTATACTTATTCTACTCGGAATCGATTTTCTCCTTAATTTTTTACATTTTATATCACTCTAAGGGTGGGTCGAATTTTAAACTGTCTGTATTGACTTACTCAATCATATTAATGCGCTTACAACTCTATATAAATTATCTCTTAAAAGACCGTAGAGGTCTGAATTTTATTCGTTTACTTTTATAGATCGTTGTGATCAATGCGTAATCCGTAATGTCTGATCGGATTTGTTTTCAATTTGTAGGTATATCATAGGAAAAATACTATTCAATATAGACAATGACGCTGTGTTTAATCTTAAATTGCAATGGATTTGTCGGCATCGTCATCCCTATGATAATGATTTTATTACTATGGTTCTAATTACGTTACCAAGACCACGATATTTCCGTGATTAGCCTAAGGTGTAAAGCACTCATTAGTGTATATTTCCAATAAATATTCAGGGACACGTCTGATGAAGATAAAGGAGTAATGATTTTATCAATTATAATCATTCAACGTTATCAAATATAATATATATATATATACAAAATGTCCTACGATGATCTGCCACTTGAGATAACTTTTGCTCCATCCAAATTTTTTTTTAAAAAATTAGTATAATAGTATGCCTTTACGCTACAGTTAATGTATATACATCAAATGAAAAGGATTTTCTTTTTTGTAAGTTAATATTACAGAACATCTCAGTAATATTACTTATTAAATATTATAATAAATTATAAACCACAATAATATTTACATTTGCCAAAACTTTAAAAATTTGTAGAAAATAAAAGACCATACGTAAACAAAAGTTTCAATCTCAAAAATTGTCTAAATTGTCTATTTCACCAAATGGCTATTTTTAATTTTTTTAAAAAAATTATAGTAAAATTTTAGATTTAAATTTTAAGTTCCCTTACCTATTTTTTTTAAAAAAATCAATTAATTTTACTACAGGTGCATATTAATTATTTAAAACAAATATTGAACAGAACAAAAGTTATTTCAAGTTGCAGATCATAGTGGAATACCCTGCATATGTTGTCATAATGTGGTTAACATTATCTAGTAACATTAAGTTACAAAATATAATTTTACACAAGTACACAAAATTATAATATTCAATACGTTACATATTTATTATAATTTTACGGAAAATAGACCTATATAATTGCAGGGTCGTTAATATATTTGTTTAGAATTTTTTTTATAAAACCCGGCCTAAAACAAAAATACAAGACGAAAAAATATACAGATTAAACGCCATCATATTATATTTCAATGGTTTCGACGAACATATAAAATTTCAAAAACGTGGGACGATCGATCCTGAGTAGATAGTCTGCTTTACGTCTAAATCATTTTTATATTATGTTCACGAAATTATATTAGTTTAATATTCATTTCGGAAAACTGTACTATTCAGGGTACAGGATAACACGATTCAAAATATTCGTTCATCCGCAACTTTATTTTAATATATCGACCTATATATAAACAAATATAATAGGCACGTCGCACGAATATTTTTTTTCAGGTATTCCATTTTTTTTTTTGTTGCGGCTCTGAAAGTGCGAACAATTTATGTAAAAAACTAACGAAGTATGATAAATACCATAGCGTTGACATTTCTACATAAACATTCATATTTTAAGTTTTAATAAATCTGTCGGAAGTATTTTTCTATATGCAGCTTATATTATTTTTAATGTGAGTTTTAAAAATTCATACTTCGGTAGTCGTTATCACAACGGGTATTAAATGTGCACGGTTTTTTTGTACGATAAGTTTTTGTTTTTAATACCTAAATAAATAAATACCTATTTTAATTTCCGGATTTAAATTAATTCAAATTTGCGAATATAGCATTTATTGACGATACAAATAGTATTTTTTTTTTTTTTTTTTTTTCATAATAGTTTATAAATTTAAAATTTTTACCGGAAATGATCCATGGTCGTTGTTCGTTTGGGGCCTTCGACCTTGTACATTCGCTCGCTTATGTCGGGAATTTTTCGAAAATAACCTTCGATTTATTATGCAAAACCACGTCGGTTAGATCAAAAAGAAAAATTTTTTAAATTTTTTTATGGAATTCCGGATTTTGATAAAATAGTATGTTAATTATAAATTTAGAAATGTGATATTGATAACAATACCGTGATTGTTTATTCTTCCTTTTTTATATTGTACTAATTTTGATTTCTGATTTTTTAATATTCTGGGCAATTATTTAATATAAATAACAAGACATCTTTCCATCACCACCTTAATGATATTATATTATGTTATATTTCAATATTATTTATTGAACAGTATAGAAATATTATTATTATTATTGATAATGGTTTGAATTATAAAGGTTAAGTTATAGATGTAGAATAAATGTCAATATCATAACCAATGTTAATGAAAAAAAAAATGTAAGAATAACTAGATACAGATAATGGATGATTACTAGAAAAATTTTATAAACAAAGAAAAAAATCTACACAACTAGATAAAGATGAAGATTAAATAATTAGTAAGTTTTTATTTAGAATATACTGCACATTGGCATATGAAATATGAATTATATTTAATAAGTGGCGTTTGTTAAGTTTTGGCACCAGGTGGTTATTAAAATATTGTCAAAAAAAAAAATAATAATAATAATATAATAAATATCAAAATTATATAATTCGTATTATAATGCGAATTTCCGGCATTTGAAATATCTAATTGAAAAGTTTATTTTTAAAAAAATTTTTTCATTGCTTTATCGAAATATTCATAATACATTTCTTACATTTTCCCATAGCCCCATTTTCTTTCAGAAAAAATGCGATCACTGTAAACTGAAGCGAAATTGCTGGTAGAAAAGTTGTTCACAGGGAAAAAAAAGGCCGTAATATTTTTTTACTAATATCTACATTTTGTATATTTTCCCGTTTTTTTCGGGTTTTTCCGATTCATTAGAAAAATGACCTCTACAATGTACCTCCACAATCAGATTTCCTTTTAGAAAGAGTAATATCATTGTAAATCAAAGCAAAATTGCTGGTAGAAAAGTTATCCACAGAAAAAAAAAAACATTGTAAAACCAATACATTCCTTGCTCCGCTCAGAATCTAAAATACAAATTTAAAAAAATAGTTCGTATACTTTTTTCCCGTTAATTATAGTATATCATATAAATATACCTGTTAATATTCACACGAAATATGTAATGCTATGTATGTACCATGCACATTTCGTTTCTCCGTGAAACAGTCAAATTATAATATATTTACCGTGCGCGAACGTCACTATCAGTTTTTCTTCTTCGATCAATAATAATTGTATTGGACAACTTCAATTAATATTTTACGTTAGGAGATAAATATATGCGTATACATACGCATTTTAAACCTGACGCCCGGAAAGAAAACATAAAACAAATAATCGTCATCACCCGCAAATTTTGAATTATTATACGTAAACAGCCGTCGCGTTTTGTTTTCCTCGTACTCCGCGCGTAGTGGCATTTTGACAGACAGTCGAAAAATGTGCGGTGACATATTTTAATGGTCTTATTAAAATCACGCATATTGACTCGACTCTTAATGAATCTTCTAGATGGAATGTGTGTTATATTCACTGTAAATTCTAAAGGTGAATTTTTTTTGCAGAACTAAGGCTTTTAGTCAGAGCCGATATGAGTAAAAAACATGGTTTAAAGAAGAAAAAAAAGTAACCAGACATTTTTACGGTTTAAAACAATTAAAAAACGATGTATATTTATTAGTTATTAATGGTATACACCTACATTACTTACATAAAAGCGTATAGTGAATTACAAGGTGTAAGGTCTTATCTTAGTAAAATAATCGTTTCAATTTTTCACTATACGATATTATTTACATTGTTAACGTTTTGTAATTTTTAAAGAAGTAATTTATTTTATTCAAAAAATTCTATAATATAAATGAAATGTACATTTTAAGTTAACTCTAGTCCTGTGTGTTTTGAGAAATATCAGACTATTGTTTATAGTTCTATATAAGAAAAAAAATAAATATTGTTCGATTCAAATTTAAAATTGATTCAACTTTAAATAGTTTTAACTCGTGAGTATTTAGTTTTGCCAAATGTTCACTTCGATGGTGGGAGGTGATCTTGAAAGACTATAGGGAACCGGGAGCAGGAAAAATTAAAAAAAAAAAAAAACGCCAACCTGCCGAATCGGTGGAACCTCTATTTTTGTATTTTTTTTATCGTCCGAATACGTTTTATTATTAAGCAATGTATAATATTATTTTGTGGTACAATAGACGTCACGATACCTATCGTGGTTTTTACCGTCCGTGATTTCGTAACCACCGTCTGCACCGTCGGCGGTATGCATGAATATTTACACACGTCCAAATATAATTTAAATTTTAATAATAATATATGCGCGAATAACATATTATATAGGTATGGGTATATATGTATAATCCGTAATTTGAAAAGTTTTCCGTCCTTTTATATGAAGTTATAATAATAATAAATATGCACGAAAAAGCGAATAAAGTAAACCGAATCTAATGAAAATGTTATATTCGCCATGGACCATGATTTCGGTTTTAATTATAATCGGAAGGCGAAGGCGATGAACGTATTTTAGCGGTATCTATAGGCAATTCCCGTTAATATCATTCTCTAAACGTTTGTTACAGTGGACGCTTCTCACATATTCAACTATTGTATACGACCATCGGCTATAATATAGGTAACCGGACATTTTGACGTAAATTCGCGGTTTATCGGTCAAATGTGTGTCCATTTCATTCATTTAAAGAAACATCATGAGAATTATCTACAACACAACTTACTTTAAACACTATATTATGTACATAAGCCACGATTATTTGTATACTATTTATCGTTTATCATTTACCATTTACCTATATCGACCTACGATAAGATCTTCATAAAATGACAACCGAATCAAAATCCAGGAATCAGCTGGTTTCTTGACTGTTAGCGTTGTGAAAGAATATCAAGTTAAGAAATCCCACACATTTACACTAGGAAAATACAAATGCACGCGGAGCCAATTTTAGTCGCGAGTAGACTTACAAAAATTGTCCAATTGGGGATAAATCGCACAATCTGTGTTATCTCAGTATATAATTGTGAATTATATGTTGCCTTATCTACTACCCTAATAATAATTAGATTTTATTTTAATTATAACTCGAAAAGAGTAATATAAGTAATTAACAAAAGAAAATATTATGTAAAAGAACCGAATTTTTATATTGTTTTTTCTCAAATAAAAGTTAACGATTTTCATAACCCAAAAAGGAGTTATTCAAAATTTCGTTACAACAGAGTTATAATAAAAGACGGACATATTTCGCTTGTGGGTGGGCCACTGTTGTATGTAAGAAATTTGGAAGGTAGGGTATAGAGGGAAATTGAATGTATATCTGCAAGCAAAGATTAATTATTGCTAACGAAAAACGATTTTGAACGGATCTCGGTCAATAGTATTGCTTTTTCAACGATATATAACAAGTAGTCAATTTAAGAGGTAATTCCAGAAAAATTTAATATTTTCCGAGATAATGAGTGTACCCACTTAAATGAATCAACTGGTATATGATATATGATTACATAGTAATATACCATGTGAATCATGTGAATAAAAATTGTAATAAATACAAGAAAGTTGTTACCATTTGAGTAAAACACATAATATATTATTACATTAAAAGTCCGTAATCTTCCTAGTGATAAACCTAGTCAAAACTAGGTTTATTTCTAGGAATTATAATAATCTCATTTATATATGCCTTGTATAAGCTAAAAACGTTTGATTAGCAGATTAGACGACCATAGTTTTTTCTGGTGATCGGATTTTAAATGTAACATAAAGGAAAACTCGTTAAATATATGTTCGCTGTATACGGTGAAGTTTCACTATTTGAATTATCAGCGGGGCGCCAGAAAAACTATAAATATATATTGGTTTCTCTGCAGTGTTTTTAACTTTCTTTGTCCGGTTAGAATATCGGTTCGGTCGCATCGGGGTCCGGAAATATCGCACAGAACAGGAAAAAAATGCTACACTGACGGCCGGCCCCCTGAAAAGTTTTGTAAACAAAGAGAAACCACGTTCAAGAATAAATAACAATCAATATATTATTATTTTATTCTATACAAACCAGAGAAGATAGAATATACTTATATATATCTCAACCGAAAGTTTTAAATTTTATTAGAAATTAATGGAATGACATTATTCGAATAAATACGTCCGAACTGACACTCACATTTATATATTATATCAATACAATAATAATTATAATAATAATAAACATAAAATGTCCAAATACTAACAAGTCCGACGACTGTCAAATTCTTTAATAAAACTTTCGGCCGGATTTTGGACGTTGGAAGTCAGGGACATATTATGGGATATATAATAATATATTAATGATATAGTTTTACTATCCCGAAGTAAAATAAAACAACAGAACTGACGCGGACCGCCATAAAAAGAGTAATTTCAAAATTGAGGACCCTCTTTATATGAATTATAAGTCCGGGGCAGCTGTCCTAATAATACGTTCACCCTATGCTTTATAACTGAATGTAAAAAAAAATGGATATACTTCGCACGATGAGTGGGCCACTATTGTAGGTGAGAAGTTGAGAAGTTAGGATATAGAGAGGATTTAATATCTATTTATATGCAACAATTAATCATTGCTAACGAAAAATGATCCTGAGTGAAGTGTGGTTATACATGTTTTAAAATACCGTAATATTTATGATTTTCATAAAAATTTCGTTTTAAAACTCTTATATTAGAAAAAAAAAATACTACATTATACTCTATTTGTTTTTTTTTTGATCCCTAAATTTCCGACTTTTAATGAACCTCCTGCGATATTTTCAAGTATTTCTGTTTAGTCTAACAATTTTATCCACAGATTACCTACCAAAATTACGTAAAAAACTCGCAAAATTAAAATGTCTATAAATAGCTCAAAAATGTCTCAAATATTTTTTAAATTTTACCACGGCTAGGTTAGACTAGAAAAAGTAAATATAAATTTTCTGTTCTTATTTCAAGTCACTACGAATATTTCAAACTGAATAACAACAACAAAATAAAATTGAAAATATTAAAAGCGTTATTATTTTCATACATTTTCCCGCTTTTCCTACGTTTTTTCCCAGTTTCTCCGAATTATTGTTAAGTGCTTGGAAAATCAAAAAATGACCTCCTTATGTACCAACTAGATACAATTAAAATGTATAATGTTTATATTTTGAGGTGCAGATAATTACGTGCAGTTATACGTACGTACATATTTTAGACAATGCAATTCATATTCTAAACGTACTCGGATATCTTTGTTCGTCTTCAGTCAAATGATAATACTAGCAAAATACGTAGGTTTATGTATTATGTGTATGCAAAGGAAACTAGATGACATATTTTAGTATCTACATCATTATTTTATGAGATGTATTATATACTATTATTATTCTTTTTGGCCTTTAGGGTAAACTATATTTTTTCCAGTTGCTCGCGGAACACTATAATAATTCTATATGGCAAACCGGCCGAGGGTATAGTGCAGTTTCTTTTTTTTTTCATTTGATATATTTTTAGTGAGGTGTCGACCCACAAGATCAGCACTTCAAAATAAATTGTCTGGCATCATTCCCCGTTCAACGTTTCTTCTGAACAATAACTCTGTCTTCCGAAATTCAACTAAAATAACATTGTATTGTATTTTAATATAAGAGAGGTTACCTAGTGTGCTTGTAGTGTTTTCCGTACAATTGACACCTATAAGTACTTATATTCTCGTATATTCTCACTTATGTTTTTGATTGATTCTGTACTCGAAAACATGTGGTCACTACGCCTATGGTAGACTACAGCGAATTCTAGAGTCGGTATTTGGCGTTTACGCCATTTCATGTAAAGGCTCAAATTCTCGAACACTAAACTGTAGTCAGCCACTTGTAGTTCTTTTAGTAATGAGTAGTATTAACCGCCTGACTGCCATGTTGGTAACCGTCAATATTATTCACCAAAAGTTTCGGGTTTTGTGTTTAGTTCAGTATTCGTAACAGATAGTCCACTACATAAAATTGTTGTAAAAATCATAAGTAAAGTATAGATTGAAGTAGGTAAAAAAAGAAAGAAGCCCGCTCTTTATCCAAAATAATGTGGACCGTAAATAAAACGATTCTTCAACATGATTAGACAAACTACTTAAATTGAAAATTGTATTAGTATGTAACTATGTATAGAAAATAAATTACATTACATTATGTCCGTGTATTCTAGTTTCAAATTATTGAACATTTTTATGGAGCCAATAATGTTTTATCGGAATAAATCGGATAAATAGTATGCGAAACGCTTCGTGATTTTTACGATTTTCATAAAAATATTTTTAACTTTCAATGTCTTATTGCAAGAAGAAAAAATGTGACTATGGATTTTTGATATTTGTAGATTTCTTTTTATCTGAATTCTAACCAAAAAAAAAAAATCGAAAATAACAAATCTGTTAATTACGTAAATTGTCCGACTAATTAGTCAAAAAGGCGTAGGAAACATATAGTTATTTATTTTTTATCTTTATGCAATGAAAACTAATTGCTGATAAAATACAATTCTGAGAAAAATTCGGCTAAACATATTTTGAAATGCTATGATTTTCATGAATTCAATTAAAATTTGAACTCTAAAATAATAACTATAATAAAAACTATTAAAGTTACGCTCAATTTTTTTTTTTACCACCACGAAATACAAAATTTCCCCTATGCATCAATAAAGTAAAATTTTCTTTTAGAAAAAACCCTAGAATTACTGATCAGAGCAAGATTTCTGATAGAAAAGTTATTCATTAGTACATCAAATAGAAAAAAAAAACACATTATAGCAAAACGAATACATTCCCCGCTGCTCAAAGGATCTAAAAAATAAACAAATCAATAAAATATACATAATTGATATTATAGACGAAAAGTTATTTAATATATTTTAATATTATAGTTGGTTTTAAACAAAAAACAAAAATGAATTAAAATCATCGCTACGAATACTAAAAATTGCAATATAAATTACACGCACAAAGCATTGTAAAATATTTAACAATAATTTGTTTCGTCAACCCACAACGCTTTATTGTTTTCTATTTTTATAACGCGAAAAGTTTTTAAGTCAGATCGTCCGTTCTTCTAACATAACAGCGTAATTCAAAATGGTATCCTTTGCCCGGAGCGTTCCAAAATAAATCATTGTGTTTTTCTTTTCATATTTTCATCGCATATTTCCTCGTCTGTCAATCATCGTAAGGATTAAGGCATAATAAATCCTCCAATCATAAATGTGTCCCAGCAGTTTAGGGTCCGGCGACGACGACGACCCTCCACACATTTATACGTATTAAAACGAGTTCGGTCTTCTGAACTTTCGTGAATGGGAAAGCGGAACGACATAATATTATTACACGTTATTGTTTCATTAAACATTTTATTTATTTATTTATTTATTATTATTTTTTTTTTAAATTCTTTTAATCAATATTATTATTTTAATTATCGATTTTAAAACACGTACATTTTGTTGTATAATCAGTGACGAAACATCAATTTTTTCGGTGGTACATTATAGTATCTATATGCTGTGTCATATATGACATAATTAATAATTTCTTAATATGGTTTATCAGTACCTAGTTTACCCTATTTTTAAATTTTGCGTATATTCAAATTCTGATTTTTGGAATTTTTAAGTGTAGTTAAAACCGATATTTTTGAATACTTAGAATTTTTACAACATTTAAGGAGTGTCATGTAGTGATACCAAATTTGGTTTTTCAAATGAGAACTTATATTGAACATTTCATAAACTAACCGAGTATTTTTAAAATGTTTTGATTTTCATCAATCCGTTAACGAGATGTTCCACTTTTAAGTTAAGGTAGGGGAGGGTAATGGAGCACTAATAAAATGCCATGCGCCATACCGCCACATACATGATACTACACTATTCCCCCCCTACCCAAACTTAAAGCGGAATTTCTCATTAAAAGGTAAACGGAAATGAACAATTTTGACAACAAAATTTATTTAAAGTAATACTCCAGAAATCAGAATTTTAAAATAGGCAAAATTTAACTAAAAAAAATGGGGTGAGCACGCTTATCGAATCACTATGTATTGTATGGAAAATCTAGGAGAAAACCTAATAAGCAATAATAGATTAGGAAACGAATTAAACAAATCATTAGATATTTTATTATTATTCTCATACTGTGGATTTATAAATTCCTAAAAAAAACTTTTTCTCCAAGTCGTTCGCGATAAATAAGTAAGTAATATCATAATATATTGAGTACGTAATAATATTCAACAACATCCGAAAAGAACGCGAGCAAACGTGATCACCGAACCGTTAACAACGATTAAACTAACGAGTAAATGTTATATGCGGCGGCGGTTGTAGACAAAAAAATAATGACGGTTACCTCCTATACTGTATATTATACAAAGCATTATTACGATCTGGTAAAAATATCATCATAAAATATGATCATTAAAAACGATTTTACGAAGAGCGCATACATCCGTGTTGAAATTTAAATTTAAAAAGAACCTACCTACCTACGCTGCACTATATTATGATAATGATCCTTAAATTCAATTTTCGACCATTTATCAAAACAATTTTATTTTATTAAGGTCGTGGAAATCAATTAGGTTTTTCATAAATAGAAAAGAGCTATACACCTATTTCACGTATACATCCGTGTGCTTTCAAATATTCAAGTGAAATTAAAATTTGAATCTATAAAACCGTGTAGGAACGTACAAAATCCCTGTATACTTGTAATTATTCACGTGTACACGTATGTTTGCGTTACTATTCACATATTTTCAGTGCGTCTTCACGTGATTAACATTAAAACACGTATACACAGATTCAATTTCAACGTACATATTAATTCACGTTTTCAATCGATACCTTTAATTTATACCAATAAGTTGAGGTAAAATAAATATGATTCGGGTATTTCAATTTTTGTTTCGACAATTATTTGACTCCCGATAATTTTCTCTATGTTTTGTAGAGCAAATAGGTATATATATATATATATTTTAACACAAGTAAAAGTGTATGGTAAAATAATTCCATATGCATTAAATATTTTCTTTAATAATATTTGTTATATACCTATATACCTATTTTCCCGTTTGTCTGCGTTTTTCCCGGTATTTCCCATTTATTATGAAAACAGCTGGAAAAATCAAAAAGTGGCATTCCTAAAGTACCACTCCAGTGAGATTTCCTTTCAGAAAAGGGCTATAATTTAAAATCGGAGCAAAATTTCTGGTAGAAAAGTTGTTCACAGATAAAAAAAAAAAATAAATAAATAAACACCCTAGTAAAACCAACATTTGCCTCACTCCGCTCAGAATCTAAAACAATAGATCAGTATACTGATTTTTTTATCGGTAATAATTTTGGATATCAAAAAAAAAGTCATATCGGCTCACCTTTATTAATTATTTATTATTTTACTTCTAGATTTACGGTCGGAATTTACCAGTCACAGGAAACGGCTTTGATTGCGAACCTGAGTCATTGGCTGTGTTACGCCAATAGCGCCGTGAACCCGTTAATATACAACTTCATGAGTGGTGAGCTTTATTCGTTATTGCACATTATAACGTCACTAGACTACTCATTTTTTGGTTTTATAGATTACAAGTATATTCGTACTCTTCTCTGACACACATTTCTTCAATGGTCTCAATGGCCTCAATGGTCTCAATGGCCTTTGTATTACAAGTCTTAAATCTCCTATGCTTGGAACGGTTTCCTACACCTCAGCAGCTCAGTATTGTATATCTATCTGACCATTCTTTTTAGTTCTTTATTTTCCCCTCATCCTTTTCGGGGTGTTCTTTAAAAACTACTTGTATAACCAAAGACTTGTATCTCGTCATTACCGTATGTATTCAAAACGCCTCGGTTTATTATTTCTCATACACTTATCTATCAAATTATTCTTGTTCCCGCTCTATATTTATTTTATATATATATATATATATATATATTTATATCCACTTCTTAACATTCTGTACCATACGAATATTTACAATACCGTTGCAGTCTCACCATAGTTTTTCAAGACTTTTCTTTCAGCCTGGATATCTCTTTCCACTTCTTTCTGTGTTTTACAGCCTGTAATATGACCATATAGGATCCGACTAGAATCTGTTTTGTCTTCAACCAAAAATTATGACAGTCATTTTTTTTTCTTTAGGCAAGTACCGGAACGAATTCAAACGGTTGTTCTTGTGCTGGGGATCACAAAGACAGACAAGATTGCGCAGGGGAGTTCCGACATCGCGGAGCGGCACGTACATCTGCCGGTTCACCATAACTACGATGAAAACGGACAATGTGAGCTACGGACTATCGCCCGACGAAACAGTCCCGTGAAATTCAGGATAGCGTGCTAGAAATACAAGAGCGCTCAAATCAAGCCACCTTTTTATTTATTTTATTTAATTTATATTATTTTTTTGATTTTCTATTATATACCTAAACCTTACCTACACACGTATACGCGCGTACTGTGTATATAATGTATATAGGTATATTTTGGAGTCAAAATTTGTGCATTTACATATTATGTGAACATTTGTAAAGATAAGAAAAAAAATAAATAAAAAAAACGCGCGTGGGTGTACGAGTGCCCGGGAATATTCTCCTTGGAACAGTAACGATCCCTCCCCCTTTCTTGTCACTGTCATCTCGTGACTTTTGACGGTTCTAATTACGCCATGTATACCATCCGCCTCATGTAATAACCCGACAATAAGAACATGACGACGGCCGTTTCCCCGAGGATAATACGAGTGTATAATGTATACGTGCATCTAATATGCTTATAATATTACCCATTTTGGTATTTTTCCACAAATTTGTATTTTAATATGTACTTAATATTTTATGTCTTACGTGTTACTTTCTTTATCGTATGTACTCAATTAAATTATTATGCTGCTCGATATTCATTTGTTCGTAAATCGTAATTCCCGGTTTTTTATTAGACAATTATAATATGATTATGTCGTTCGTTGTTTAGTGAACGTATTTACGGGTGTAAGTCCGTGGTGGTTATATAAGTCGAAAAAGATCTAAGAGATATTTAACTATATAAGGAAAGCAGCATGGAAGAAAATACAAATCGCTGGTAAGAATACGCGAATTTCATGACAGGTGCGGGGTGAGATTACGGCGATTTATTATCTCTATATTTCGCATATAATTCGATTTGGAGATTTTTTTTTACTAAATTAAACGAAAATGGTTTTTTTTTTTAGTTTTGGACAATCCAGTCACCCTTGATGTAATTTTTTCCGTGTTGAATATGGCGATCCCGAATTCGTTTAAAATTGTCATCATTTCAAGCGAGTTAATACTACACCTCAGTGATCCATACGCGAAATACAGTATTATGTTATATAATCGTATCAGATAAATGGCGCGTAGTCACCGAAAGCCACTTACCGATAACACCCGTAGGTTTCAGAACGAGGGCCTTACAATATAGCGATCTTAAGTTTTCTGGTGACGCATTTATTTGGTTTCTCTCGTTCGAGAAACACTTTACTGTTCGATAAGTAGCTGATGTGCAACCGTGGTAGTAAATCAAATACCTACATAGTATTATTATTACTTTAAAAACGTTGATCTTGTCCGCACTCTCCCCCCCCCACAGGTTTCTAATAGTAATATGTTTATAACAAGATCACATCTGTAAATCTGTACTCGTATAATACAATCAAATTTAATTCAAACTTGTTTCAGCTACCCAAGTATTTAAATATTTTACTGGCCAATTTGCACTTATTCAATAGATATTAAAAAAATCACTATCGTGGTTTCATTCCAGGATGAGAATAATGTCTAACTTTTCATTTTCCGTTCTAACGTTAAAGCCAAGTCCGGTTCACACGGCGATAGTTGCTATAGTGGTAGTCATGAAATTCACTAACATGACAGTTACATAAACATAAACAATCGTCGTGTGAAAAAGGTGTTAGTAATAATTAAGTTATTGTGAATGCTGCTATTCCACTTTATCATGAGAGTAATAGTAACTATAGTTTGGGCACATACTAACTATCGTTAAATTTTACTATCATGGTGCCTTTTTCACAGATTCGCTCAACTATTATTTTTTATTATGTCTTCTAATATCATCACGTGGATGCTGACTCATGGGATAGTTATCTATCGATTACGATCGTGGCAGAAACAATCACGTTAGAAACCATCATCATGAGGACTAGGCTTAATGTTTCATATACAACCAATAGATAAAAACCGTGTGGGAAAATTTCTTTAAAAAATTAGTACATTCCTATTTACTAGTTATTATTTTCATAATTAATACATTAAAATACATCACGTGCATAAACATTTGTAATAAATTTCAAGTGTATTCCAAAAGAAAAAAAATTATACATTTTCGATTTGTCTTGAATTGGTCTTTGAACCACAGAGATAATAGCTGTAGGTATACATATACTTTATAAATTGGCTAAACGTTTATTTGCTCGAATTTTCGTTACTGACCGATTAAAGATATTTTTTAGAAAAATTAAAATTAAATGTAAATTTTTCAAATTATATACATTCACATCCCGACATAAATTACATTCATTCACATTCACTATTCCTTAAAAATAAAATTAATACGTTTATGAATTCATTTCTTTAAAAAGGGATGGAATTCAATAAATGCATTATTTCCGTACACCAAATAAAAATATAATATTATAATGTTTGCTGTATGTGACAATATGTCGTTTTCAAACGGTTTAACCCGAAAACAAAAATTCACTATGCTATCATTATGAAATGTTATATTATGATATTTTTGCAACGATGATTTGGCGGCCCGCGGCCATATCCAGTCGGTCATATTAAGCCTTTTGTTTAAATATCTATTATATATACCTAAACATACCTTTGTTCGAGTTTTGATTTGTTTTTTTTTTTATTTTAATACATGTATATACAATGTATTGTCATTTGCACGGAATATTTTGTTCGTTTAGAAAAAATTCACATGTTGATGGAAATATTGTATACACATAATAATATTATAATAACATACCTAAAGTAATATGTCTTTTACGTTTTAATAATACAATGTATAATAATAATAGCTTGTAATATTATTACGGTTAAAATGTCTGTAAATTAATAATCAGTTGTCTTCGTGTGTGTATAATATAACTAGTTTTAATCATTGCATAGTATTGTTTCGCACAAAATAAAACAAAAAATGAATTTTCTCTTACATCTGGCTAAAAAAATATGCTGTACTTTTTTCACAATCCCATAAGTCAGATTAAGAACTTATATAACCTATCCTATAAATCAGTCAGCCTTTGAAATTGTTCTCAAGTCTGGATCGTGTTCGTATCTCTTTCTATAACCACTACATATTAAATTAATATTAATAATAAAAGACAATATTTTCGTGTGCTTGTTCGATCTACAGCCGAATCTAATGCACGCACGGGCCTGAAGATATTTATTTAGAAGTGGATGAACATGGTCAGTTTCAAAGCCGGATTTTCGAAATTCTTACAACGTGGCTAACACAGGATTTTTGCGTGACTACGGAGATAGAAAAATGGAAAAAATAGTGGAAAAAATGGCACACGTCTAATCAGCCCTCCTTCAATACAAAAAATTACAATTTTTTTTTCATTTCGATATTTAGTATGTATTAGTATGAATTTAAATAACCAATTCCAGAATTTATATGTATTTATTTTTACATTATTTGTAGCAATAAACAGGAGGTGATGGAAAAGCGTCTCGCTGCTCACCAACCTTCCTGAATATAATATACATGTATATTAAAAATGTAAAATTGAAAATTTAACAACGCCAATAGGTCATTGGATTGCAATATGTAAAATAACATGTTATATATTTTAACACTAATTTTAAAACGTATAGATATTTCTCATGACTCTATATAAATTAAAACTACATGATACAATGTATACAAAATCAAGTAATGCACTTTCATTAGTACTTACTTTTTCTACTGCTTACTGTTTGAATTATTTTTCTTTAAAATATAATATTCCATCAATAAGCAGTGATCGATTACCAGCAGGTTTTCGTCCTACCTCCGGCCCAGGAATTTAAAGTTAATATACTACGATAAACAATACTATACTAATACATTGTAGACTTCAAACATTTGAATTAATAAAATTACAATTTCCTAATGGGGAGGGGAAAGAAGAGTCTAACGAGATGTATGTGGACAAATGTCTTTTAAGAGAATACGAAGGTGAACCAAGGAAATACTTGATTATCGAAGAAGGTGAAGCAGTATCATGGTTGATTGGATTATGCACCAAACTAAATTATCGCAGAAAACCTAGTGTCATTGTAATATTTTAGGCTTCTTATACATATCATACTTGTTTGTTTACATTTAAGGCTCAAATTATTAATTATAATTTTGAAAAATATGTATACATATACCGGTTAAAATATTATTAATAATATAAAATTATTAAAAGGACGTGATATCCCCTGTAATTTGATTGTAAAAACTGTTACGAGTACAAATAGTGTAGTATACCAATAAACAATTTTAATTTAAGTAATTATGTTTTTTTAAGATTTTTAAAGTTAACGAATATTTTATTCGCTACATCATTTATGTCATACAAAATAATATTAAAATCACTAGGTAACAGAACTCTGTTGGTATAATAATATAAACATTTTTTTGTTGATTTAAAAGTTACCATGGTAACTTAGATAAAATTTAACAAAAAGTGATAATTTACTTAGTTTACTTTGTTTGGTTGTCAAATTAAATGAAACGGAAAATGTCTTCAAATTATTTTGTTGGTTTAAGTTTTTGAACGGTTTGAAATTTTTGTTTTATATGGTCAAAATGGAAAGAGAATTAAATTAGCATGGACCACGCTGGGTGGGACAACTCTCTAGCTTGTTAACTGAAAATCCACCATTAAATTTGAGATCCATGGACATTATTGCATACTTTAGAATTGTTATAACTGCCCACTGTCCAACAAATTATAAAACAAAGACCTTAACGCTGCTATGGGTGAATTCTCACTAGTGAGGTTAGTCAATAAATCTCATACTAGTATCGTAAAGACGTAAACGTACACAACACCAGTTTATAATATTAACAAGCTAGAATTATGAATAGATAGGAGCTTTGAAGACGATAAAATCAAAACAAACCTACTTCAAATTCAAAATTATCCCCTCATTTCCTTCCCCACCCTCTTTTATACTTTTCATCATTTCGAGGTTTTCTCCAACCGATATTCCACTACTCTCTTCTTCCTTCTATTTTGTCTATTACTTTTTCTCTCTTTGTTCCTTCCCCTTTTTCAATTTTACTGTATTCTCCTCATCTCCTCATTTCCACTTTCTGATGTCAAAAAATTATTATAAATTACAAAAATTTGATTTGTAGTTTTGAAATGTAGTTTTTGCTTTGTTTACAATGTATTGTAATTAATTTATTGATTGTATACTGTTGCAATTATTGATAAAAGGAACAAGAAATATGGTGACACTAAAAAACCATTGAAATTTATTAATGAAGTGATTCATTCAAATAAGCCTAAAAATCAAATTATTAATTGTGCTTATAAAAATAATGGTATTTCAATTACTAAAACTGAAGTTCTTAATAATTTATTTGCAAATGTCGGTAATAATATTCATAGTCAGATAAATTTTGAAACATTTGATAAATTAAACTGTAATGAACTTAATTCACAATATTTTATTGGTAATTCGATTTTATTAAGCCTATTAAACATACTGAAATAATTATAAATTATATTACCTCATTAAAAATGATAATGAAAATACTTCAGTATTTCAAACAAAGTGCTAAAAACAACTGCTTCTCAGATTGCTGTACCCTCAAGTATTATCTTTGATTTAGTTATATCCTCAGGAGAATATTCTAAACTTTTATAAAAAAGCAATAATAATACCTCTATATAAGGAAGGTGATAAAAAAGTTGCAATAATATTATCAACCTATTCCTTTAATACTGTTAATATTTAAACTTTTTGAAAAATGTACAATATTAAGGATACAGTAAGGAACAATTTTTAAATACAAATGCATTTTTTTCTGTAAATCAATTTGGTTTTATGAAAAATAAATCAACAACTGATGCTCTAGTTGCTGTTACAGATCACATACATAGGTATTAAAGAATAATTGGTATATTTATTGATATTAAAAAGGCTTTTGATTCAGTTAATCATAAAATTTTATTTAAAAAAATTAGAATCTTGTGGTATAAGAGGAACAGCCAATAGTTTTTTTTAGGTCATACTTATATTTAAGGTTTTAAAACACAAGATTAAATAATATTCATAGCCAAACAGCCAGAGTTAATTTTGGTGTACCGCAATGAACTGTCTTAGGACCTTTATTATTTATAATTTACATAAATGGCTTATTATACATGCATATTAATCGTAAAATAGTTTGTGTTGCTGATAACATGGTTCTGTTGATAGAAATAATACTTTGGATGTATATAACAATTTAGTTTCATTTGTTGAAATAGTTAAACTTTAGTTGGGCAATTCAGGATTAATGTTAAACCTTCAAAAATCAAAATTAATTTCATTCAGTAATAATAAAACTTCAAATAGTGATAAAATAAGCATGATCTATTTGAGTAAATGTTATGACAAATAAAATTCATTGACCAAACAGAAATACTTGAACATTTAAAACAAGATTACTTATGATTTTTTATAAGTGGTCATAAACTCATAACAAAACAGAGTTTTATTTAGTAGTTTTTTTGTATAAGAAATTTCCAATTCATATTAAAAAAAAATCATGGCATTTCACAATATGTTTAATGCAATGGTTTATTTTTGCATGAGGGTATAAATTAATTAAATATGCATTTTACCTTCCAACTATCACTTCCTATAACCATCCTTTCTATAACAGTGGCACACCGCACACCCATCAGCAGTATCAACTTTTTTTTTATTTATATTTTTTCCTTCTGTAAACATCTTTCTCAAAATAAATCTCCTACAACGAGTACTTACCTTAAAAGTGAAAATGTGAACTAAAAATATAATTAATATAAATATAATATGGTTTTAAAACTATAGATAGAAGCCACTATGCATTTATTAGATTGCCCATAAGTGCTCAAATTTGAGTTGCGATTGTGTATCGCGAAATTCGATGAAATTAATTTCTATTATACTTAAGTTTATGAAAACTTTTACTATACAGTTTACGTTTGTAATATAGATATTTTAACAAAACTGATTATTGCTTTTCAAAAACAAAAATGATTAGGTTCTGTAAAACTATATTACCTTTAAAAATTATTTGTACAGTTTATTTGGGCATGTTATATGTACAGAGGAATCAGAAGTAATACGAATAGTAATGAAAATAAACGTAGAAAGAAATAGGGGAATAGTATGACCAAAAAAGGGATTATTGGATGTGATTGATAATAATATGAGGGCAGCCGGTGTATGCGAAGTGGAAGATCCGATCAACTCGAAGAACGAGGGTGGCCAACCCCAAATAATTTGAATGAAGGTGGAAGAGAAGAACTATAATTGTTAACTTTATTTATTTTTAGGTGGAAACATAAATAATACATTAAACGTGTAGGTGTAGGTAATATTTTAGGACTCTTGATAGTAATTTACCAATAACTAGTGTAATCTAGCGGTATATTTGTAAGCTTCCATAACTAAATAAATGAACACTAGAGAGCAACACGATGGTATTATAGATAGCAATGATTAAAGCTAATACAACTACAAGACTACAACGATAATCTTGTTCGACATGGACTCTATGATATAATGCATATAACAGGAATTACAAACTATTATTATTAATATACGTACAATTGAAAATTAATTTTGGTGACAATTAACTTTTTCACCTTTTCTCTCATGACTGAATTAAAAAAAAAACTTTTGAGTGTTTTGGATGAAGCTCATTTATAGATTTTAGTGAAAATTATAATGTTTATTTTAGTGTATTTTAAAAAGATTTATATTTTATTTTTTTATTTTTTTTTTATATGAACATTTTTCTACCAGAAAGCTTACTCCGATGTATACGATATAGACCGTTTTCTAAAAGAAAAGTTTCTTGGGTGATACTTTAGGGAGATCATTTTTCGATTTTCTCGAGAGTCCTAAAGGTACGGCTGGTTTCGTCGACATACAAATCGCTACGGCTCTGAACACATTTTCTTTATTTTTTAGTAGTACTTTGAATTTTACAGAGTAAAAACGAATATTTTAAAGTGTTAGGCCATGTCCCAATAAATCGTGCCTTTTGAATAATAACGAAATAATCATAAATTTGTTTGAAGAAAATGAGGTTAGGTTAGGTAATTACTTACCAGATTTGCCAATTTCCAAGGCAACTCCTTTCCAAACGTCATCTTTTAGAAACAGGTCTTTGTTCTTTAAATCAGCACTGTCGTATAAAACAGAATGTTCCCGTACTTCCTCAATAAGTATTTCCTCGTGTTCCGGCAAACAAACAACTTTCGACACATTTAAATCATACGTTCAACATTATAATACTACGATTGAAAAAATAATGATTGGCTACCGCGCAATCATTAAATGAAATCGAACTGAATACGCGTAAACGACGGAGCCAAAACGGTATCGCGGGACGGCGAAACAAAACGGACGCTTGGCGAAAGAAAACGGACGCTTGGCGAGCGTTGAACCGAACAAAACACGTACGGGACACGGGCGAAAAACGGCGAGCCGTAGTAAAACGGTACCGTGCGGGATAGGTTCGGTTCTACGTTAAAACGGGTACATTCGTGACGTCACGACGTAACGACCAATAATGGCGAGTGACCGTGCGGGAGAACGAACGGCTGAACACGCGGACAGTGTTATAGAGTCCCCGGTCGGGGAAAAACGAAAAAAGGCGGAAATATCGCGGAGTCAGCGCATAATAGTTTGGAAAAAATGCGTCCTAGGGTAACGGAGGCGGGTGCAGCCACCGTTATAGATAATTTAATGTGTATCTGTAAACAACGACGAACCATTTCTAACGAAAAAACCGATTCTGAGCCCAGTTCTGTTGTTAGTGATCCTTTGTCAACGATATACATGTCATATAATGAAAAAAATAATTAAATAGGCGTTATATATATTTTTTTTAATATAAATTTGATTAATATTGTAGGTACCGGATTTTCCCGTTTTCCCCCCGGCTTTCATATTTTTTGGAAAAGCTCTTGGGAAAAGTAAAAAATAACCTCTCTAAAGTACTTCCCCAGTCAGATTTCCTTTCTGAAAAGTGCTATCATTGTAAATCGGAGCAAAATTGCTGGTAGAAAAGTTGTACACAAAAAAAAAAG